CGTACGGTGGTGATATCCCGAAAACCTTCGCTCTTGGTGTGTTCTGGCGAGAGTCCGGTTATCATACCAAACAACTCCTATCACCGGGCAAGCCCCCCCCTCTTCCATGTCCCCCCTATTTCTACCCCCAAGTCACCCCAAACCCACTGGAACTATCGGAGGTTCCACTGCACCGTACTTGTGTAGGGGGTTTCGCACCGGTGGTCCAAGTCCGGGATGCGTACAGTACTGCGGTTCTAGCAGGTTCATTGCAGTATGGTGTGAGACCCCCCGGTACTGCTTGCCGGTTTACTACTTATTTTCCATATTTTGCAGCCAGAGCTAAATTTAATTATTTAGCCAGCTTGGAAAAGGAAGACACCATCATATCAGTGGCTTTATTTGCTGCGAGGAGAAGCCTTTTTTACACTAATAAAACTTTCACCATTAGTGGCTAGTGACAAATCCTTTTTTTGTGCATGTCACCGTCTGGACCGTCAGACCATCCCGTGTACGAGTACCACCTCTAGAACCGGTACTAGTACCGTGGTTCATTTTTCCAGTTCACGGTTCATGAACTGCGAACCGGCTCTTTGAACCGTGGTGAACGGCCGGTGGGAAACCCCCTTATTTTATTCCGACATATACCAGGCCAGAGTTTAACAGACTACCGGTACCGGTAAGAGTACACACTCCAAGTGCTCCCCTCAGTAACACGTGAGATTACCGGCTCAAGTACCCGGGATGTTCATGAGATTTCGCATGACTTGGTTTATTCCTCCTAGCGGGACGTTGACTCCCGGACTGAACTGCGCGCCGCCGGTCCTACTCATATTCCCCGGATAATTTAGGACCTTCCCACCAGGGAGGCCCTGTGTGGAGCCACGATCCTGGACTTGAACTTGTCTTGTTACCACAGCGATGGTCTTCCACCTTCCTAATACCGTTGGTTAGATAAGCTACATATACGAGCAGTTCAAGTGTAGACTAGATCCCTGGTCTGAGCTGTATAACGGCAATTCATGAATTAGCGCGCCCGTGAGAATGTAAACGAGGTCAGAGGAACGCCAGATTGGCTCAAGGTGATTTCGCACAGGCTAGCGGCGAGTGACTACCGTATTTACTCGGACAATCCACCATCTCCATCAGGAGCCCTATACAATACCCAGAGACAAAAAAAAAACATCGAAAAGGAAATAGTGTTCATCTGATACTGTGTGGCTCGGGCGAGTTGAAACTTGTGGATCTCATTGGTTGGTGTTCGTAATTTCGTCAGCCTGCTCAGCTAGTCATATCGTAGTTTAGCTCTATTGCTTATCGATAGTGGGTTGTCCGGTACGGGTACCGTATTCTGGATAGCGATATATTCTTGACGTGCGCCGAAGCTCGAGTGCTGAGACATTTCGCCTGTCTCCTAGACCCCGCGTTCTCCATACACCGGCTAGTTCACAACACAAGGGAGCTTCCTCTGTGTAACCAATCCTGTTTCCTCGCAGGGGTTCTCGGCAATTGACAAGATGAGAAACCCTGACTGTACGATACTCGTAAAATGAGACCCAACAGATCTAGACCACTGGCGGGTTTTCGCAAGTTATCGGTAGCGGAGATGGGATGAGGCTAATTGAGGCTTCCCAGAATACGAAGCGGTGCTCGACCAAAAGAGCCAATATAATTTCATCTGCGGACAGCTCGCCGCTAAATTACTCTCCTCATCAGTTCCGTTCAATTGCGACCAAACCCTCGGAGAACGAAATCCAGTCCACTTCCTGCCCGTACAGTACAAGTGCCCGGCACGGAGAACCCGAACATTTGAGCCTGAATTTATTCTGGGCGATCAGATGCGCAGACAAATGGCCATGGAAATCTTTGCCCACTCCGTGTTCGGGTTCTTCATGCCGGGTGGCGTACTGTACAATACTCGGTAGAGTTGCGGTCCCACACCCAAAGCTGGTAGCAATCGCCGGGCCAATCGGCGTCACCGTCTTTATTGGATGCTGTGATGAATTCAGTGGTAACACGCTAACGTGACATACGAGTACAGATAGTACTTGATCGGATGAGGAAACCTCCGTTCAACAAACTCTAGTATAACCACAACGACCTCTACCCCCACCTCCCGGTAACGTGCCGTCAATACATTCTACTATAGAATTGGGATTTGTTAATTTGGTGGCGAACAAACATGTTGAAAACCCCGCTTGGCGCGATATATTGAGCTCACAGTCCGACTGAATTCAGCACTTCATACAAAACTTCATACGAAATCCCTATTGGCTAACGATCGCTAATAGTTTTGGGTGTGTAACTTCGACCTAACCACACGGGCACAGATCCTCTTCCCCACGCTGTGCCCCCCGAGTTTTAGGTTGTATGACAAAACCACATGGCAGATTTGTCGTACGGAAGTTCATTGCTACCACTCCGTGGAGTTAATTGAGAATTTAGATTCTACCGGTATTACACTTATTATCTTTGATCATTCATAAAGAGTACCCTGGTAAAGTCAGTGAATAGATAACTTGGGTTGACCTACAAAATTATCTTTGTCCAATACGAAAACCTCCCTCCAGCACTTGTGCTCCAATTCTCCCATTAACCTGGATTTAACAAACGCCGTGAGGTCTCTTGGAATCCGCTATCAGATTATCGGTGGCAGTCACTACGTTGGTTCGCCGTAGGTTTAGTTTGACAGGTTAAAAGAATTTCGAAACAAGTAAATGAGATCAGGCGCAACTAGGGGGTTTAGACTATACTACTTCAGGAGAGTACCAATCCTCTCAAGAGCTCTCGCTCCCAAACCCAGAGATAAGATGCCCGCCGGAGATCGCAAATCACAAGGGGCCGAATGATTTGACGGATACTATTCCTAAATACGGAGGGTTGCCGACCGGTTTGAACTTATCCCCCCATTGTCGTCGTATCATAGCAGGATTATGCTCCTGGTGAGAAAAATAGCCTGGATACCGCCAAAACGGCGGTGAGCCAAACCAGATATCAACGGAGCAAGATAATTTATTAAAAAATCTGAGGTTATAATTTGATCTTCAGTGTTTTGGTTACTCGGGAGTACATTTCTCAAATCTTTAAGGTCTCCCGAGAGATGATACCTTTCATTGTCAAAGTCGCTCCCTTGGTATGATAATTATCATAACTTTGATGTCCCAGTTTTTCATCCCATTACTTGTAGGGTACTAGGGCTAGCAGAGGACCACGGCCGTTCGACTTCAACGTCAAAACGTTTTCCCCGGTGCCGCTAACCCGCACCTCGTATAAGGATTACACAAGCACACTACACTTTTATTCTTAGCCAATAACTTGTTCATTTGGCCTCGGAGATTCTACAGGCCACTCCGCTACTCGAGTACACGACTTGCCGAAAATTACTAGGTAGAAGACCACCATCCACAGAAGCACATGGCTTACCGTAAAGGAAAATGTGCTAGGATCAACCTTATTTTCATTCTACGAACGATCCACCTATCTAAAAGGTATCGCTGAAAGGCATCGGATACTCTCCCTAGCCCTCAGACCCCGTTGAAGAAAAGCTTCGCTATCCTCCCATATACGAGTACTAGGACCTTATAATTCCCCTTCTCAACTAAGCGAGGGGAAAATTCCGCAAATCTTGCCCTCAGTTAAGGAATAGGAGGAATACACAGAGCTCTCCATTGGGGGAGACAGTTACAAAGTCCTAGCACATTTTTCCCCTCTTTGAGTTTTTACGGTACGCTCACGCGCGGATTAAAGACCGGGTGGTGACAAGGGCTTACTTGTTCAGGTGTGGTAACGGGGAGCTATTCTATGTTCGATCAGCAGTCAACACAATGTCATTATAACAGGTCCCTATGATATAGTAATCTTCTCCAATTCTTTTCTCGCAGCTTTAGCCGACCTACCTACTACAGATCGTGTACTCCGCACGCCCTATCATATTTAGCCTGCGAAAACTTCTGGCAAGTTCTTGGGAATACCGTGCTCTGTTCGGTAATGGCAGACCCAGTCAATGGACTGTAATATGTCTTGACCGATACGGTGCTTGTACATGGCTGTCCCTCAGGGACCCCGCCAACTGGCGTCCACTCCCGCACCCGCATGTGTTCCTAACAATTATACAACCTCGATCCTGGAATGTCCTCGTATTCCTGCGGGGTAGTCAAGATCTCCCTGCCATACGCCTCCAGGGGGGGGGCAAAAAAAAAGAAAAAGGACATCATCCTCTTGCTGCCCCGCTATGGGCTCGTGTTCCAGAGACTCCCTCGATTCATGGTAAATCACTCGGATGATCTTATCCAAAGCTTCCATAGTTTCGCGAGTTCTGAGTTAGTGATTCCAATCCAGCAACCGCATCCTCTAGATCGGGAACCCGCATGAATATAGCAATATGAGGTAGTTCGTAGTGGACGTGACGGTCGCAGATGGATTGAAGATGGGTTATTCTCAAGACTGTCATCAGGGTAACCAAGTCGAGGCCGGCTGAAAGGATTATAGACTATCTTTTTGTAAATATATGGCCTAACCTTTTTGAGCTTGCGGCTTGCGTACTGGCCTGCTTGGACGGCTTTACCAACGAATTACTAAACAAGTGTTCGGGAAGTATTGGGATTGAAGAACGAGAAGAAAAGCCGCGGTACCCGGGGAGGAATTATGACAAAATTCACAATAAAAAAACACTCTAGCGGAGAATGGGAGAGCATAGAGAAGTCCACGTATCGGTACAGAACGTTCTTCAGTTTGGCCTCTGCTAATGTGAGCTCTGGTGGGAAACCGGTTAAGTTCCTTTGATTGCGTGAATATCGTTATTCACCTCGCATTAATGAATACGAGATGCACCTCTATACCCATGCACTGGATGTCCCGGACGAGATCACGATGATTGGAAGATTCTCGGAATACTTGCAATTGCCGTAGCGGAATCTGCCGGGGTAGCTGCGGTAACGAGTGCGGTGCTCGAGAGCCCGCTGCTCCAGCATCGTGACCCCGCCATCCAGTTTTCCTAGCTCGCAGGAATGGGAGACATCAACATGACCCTATTCACTCAATGCAAGGACAAAAGCATAAATACCAGCCATATTCCCCCACAACCTTCCTCCACCATCGGTCCCTCACTGCCCCGATCTGATCCAGAACTTCCCAGCAGACCAATACTCGAAGCAGGTATTCCCCCTTGCCTACCATCAGTTATAAAGCAAAAACTAACACAAGAACTACCAGCGCAAGCTACCACAATCAAATCACAAGTAATTTTCTCCTCCTTCACTCCCCCCCCCTCCTTCAAACCGACACTAACTAAGATACCGCAGTGCTCCTCAAGCCCCTTCCCATTCTCGCCCTCTTCCTCACCCTCACTCACGCCGCGGCACTCGCGGACCCCTTCGCCGAAGCCGACAGCGATCTCGAAAAGCGCGCTTGCGTTTCTGACGGCTGCAAGTGCGACTCCTCGTACAGCGCCGGACTCTACTGCGGGTACTGCGCCGCCGTGAAATCCTGCACTTCGAGCTCCTGCTTCAAGAACGTGTACCAGTGCGGCAGTGGTGGGAAATGCTGCAACTACGGGGTTAGAACTAGCTGCAAGAACTTTGATGGTCCTTGCGGTTAAAAGATGTCTCTTTTTTTTATACCGTCTCGGAGAGTCGGCTGAGATCGGTGGAATGAAGGTGGGGGATTGCTGTCGAATATGAGCTCTTGTTCTTTTCTGGGGGTAGGGGGGTGGAGAGGGAGTGAGAGGTTTCGGCGATATTTTATTTCTTTCTTCCGACCTTTCTCTTGATGATGTCTACTGTTCTGGAGGATTGATTTATGCCGAACTCGGTCTTTCTTGAGCTGTGTACCCGTGCTCTGAGTTGGTTTTAGTCATGCTGTCTCACTCGAGAATGTTATTTGCCCTTGGACGTTATGAACGGAATATGAGTCTGAGTCTAAACTGATCGGTAGTTCAACACAGAATTGAGCTAGTGCTGATATGTATAGCTAAAGAGGAAGTAATTCATGAGACCGTTCGATCGAGTGAAAGGTTGGAAACATTTCTATCTCTTGTCGGGTGCAGTGACGATAGTTAGGAAATCTGCCTACATTAAAAAAAATAACCCGGTTTACGAAATCATTCTCGAACCAGCACTTCAAGGAGGGTATGATGTTGGCTCCCGGCAGTCTTGTCGGACGGAATGCCCTTAACGCCACAGCCACTAACCATAATTAGGTTAGATAATTGTAAGTGGTAATCAAGGTCAAAGAAAAGTCCCATTCGAATAACATACATTTCAATAGCTAGTTGGCGCACCACGCTTGGACGACAGAAGAGAGAGTCTGGGGGGTAGGCAGAGGTGAAGTGGCGGAGAGCGCTGATAGTATTGATGGAATGGGGAGATGGACTGGATCGAAGAACCAGGTAAATGAGAAACTCAGAGATCTCTCTGGTAGAATGGAGGGTATCACCGAACGCAAATTCGAGCCTGAAGTGATCCGCACTCGTTAGCTATCCGTGCGAACTGGGGTAGCGGGAAGGCACACTAGCCACTATATTGCAGCCACAATTCTGGAATCGGCTAATATAAAAGAGTGGTTGGTCTATGAATCACTTCCGACCCATTTATGGTGCTCACTCTCACTTAGCTATTTGAAAGATGCTACCAGACACCTCTCAATAGCCATACACAGCTCTAGTAACCTCAAGGTTCTTTTCTATTATTATATACTGTTACATCACCGCACAAATACCCCCCCCCCACGCCGGGCAGCCCCTAATTACCTAACTTCCGACTATTCTATATCCGTGGTATTAATTCTACCTTATCAGATTCTGGACCACCGTCGGTCGGAGCAATCACTCCAATACCCCGCGAGCACAAAACAGTGTCCTAACTCCTAATTACTCAAAACCTGCCAATTGGTATTAAGGGTGTGGCAGCGCGCCGAATCCCCCCTCCCCTGGCTCTCAATGGCACAAGACTTCTCACTTGTGCCTGCTACCTCCCCCTGTTGAAGGTTCTGGACGGATTTTGGTTGATTGGGGTAGATTGTGGAAGTTTCGAAAGTCTGGCGGAAGTTCAATAGATCAATGCGGAGGTTCAGATATTTACGGAGTAGATTCTCTAGACATGTCTTTCCCTTGTTATCACAAAAGTGTGCAGTGGAATGGGGGCATCCTTGGAGACTTAGAGATGGGCGTGGTGGCCTAGGGTAGGATCAAGACGCGTTGATTATGTTTTACCTATACGGCGGTCTTTACCTCTCGCTCTGTTCCACACACCGCCATAGTTTCCCACATATTCACTGCCCCATAAATTGTTTCTTAAATGTCTGGGCTATCCCGAAAGGTGGCCAACCCTGTTGTGAAAAATCGCCTTTTTGGATGTTTTCCCCCTTTGGTTGTCTGTGGTAAATTATTAATCTCCTAAGGAGTACGGTAAATTGGTAGCGTTATCGTTTGGGAAGGCCCCCTCAACTACAGCGATATTAACCACGCCACCATAAAGGGACATTTTTACACCCACTATTTTACAGATTATACTATATGCGAGTTTCTCAACAGCCACGGGCGGTCGGATGCCCTGTTTTGTGGGTGGCATTGATTGTGCGGGGGGGGTACCGGGAATTAAATACAAAGTCCCGGTGAAGGTTTAGACAAAAAAAAACGTAAAATGAATATCTACAAGTTGAACGACCCCCTTCGGCACTTGCCGCAATCTCACACGAGATCGTTCTTAGCGGATAAGATAATCTTAGCTTCTTTTGCGGTCCCAAGAAACGGAGATGCAAACACTTCGCTTCATTTTGGCTCGCTGACCTAATAGAGTGGAGGATAAACTGCGCCGAGTGCTTAGAGCATAAGCCGGAAACAGCTAGACCATTTGCACAGGGTTATCGCACTCGAGTACCATTACGTCCTACTTCCCAGAGATATTCATTAAAACGCGTTGAAATTATGCACCAAGCCCACTCTCGCCACTACAGGGGATGGACTGGTCCAGCGTCAACTACTCTTCTCGTATAACTATGCCCCACTCGAGTAGATACTCGTAGTGCCGGAGAGTTTTTAAAATAACTTCCGTACAGCCCAGATTCAAGCAAAAGGGCCAAATTTTGGTGATATGCAACAGCAGTCCTCTTTTTTTAAAAAAAGAACGCTTCAATATTACAAGTGCAGTACCGTAGCGGTGATCCAAGATCGCTTAGACTAGACGAGAAAAGCTGTGCGTGGCCTAATCTACCCTTGGGGGGTAAAAGGGGGATGGAAAATAGGGAATAGACTTGTCAGAAGGGGGGTGTTGTAATATGACTTCCAAATATGCATTAGTTTTGTTATTGACTACGACAGAATATTTTGATATTGGTTCATTAAGAGATTGAACTCATTACGCGGTTGACTAGAGAGATTACTCGGAAACTTTATCATGGTACTAGTTTAGTTTCCGCGCTCGCGTTTCCTTTCTCTTTACTACTACATTATGTAGTATCAATTGTCGTTTTATTTTTTCTCCTCTCTTGCGCGAAGCGCACATCATGGGCGATCAAACAGGGCCCTATGGCCCCCCGGCAGAGCACCAATCGAGCAAGAAGTACAACTTCAAACAAGAATTACAACAGGGGGTACCGAAAAGGAAACGAGTGATAATTCATGATAAAGATAGTAACTTACTGGTGTTTCCGGTTCATATGATACAGTACAGTGCATGTGGAAAAATAATGCATCTCCCCTTGTCTATGAGTTGGATTTTCCTTGAGCCTCTATTCTAAAAATACACATCCATCCAGCTCTCCATCATAATGGCTGGAGAGGATTCTCTCTTTTTTCTTCACAATATGAGTCCGGAAGGGGTGGAGAGGTTGGAATGTGCTTGACTTTCTCTCCAACTTGCCTCCGGGCGATCCGCCTTCCGAGAACCTGCCAGATACTCTCCTTCCGAGGAGGGATAAAGTGAAGGAAATTCCCACGCTATCGTAACAAATCCCGAGATTTGGGGACATTCACCTTGCAGAAAGAGGAACTAATGGGGACCTGAAACTTAGAGGGGTAAAGCAGGTAGAAAAAAAACCGTCTCCTCACAAGGGATAGAAATATTCGAGTCCTGAAAATATCGGAAGGTGGAGCTGACCGACGTCTTGCCGTAATATAGTTTAGCGACTCCAAATGCCCTGGGTACCGAGTTGGCATATACTCGTCCTAGGAAACAAGAGCCGGAAGCACGGATTAAGCTACAGGAATATCATTAAGGGCCTGTTTGGATACAGTCGTTCCATTCGCTTGCCGCATATCATACAAGTGACCGTTTCCTTTCCGTTTCAAAAATTATGAACAGAACTGTCCTTCGGCAGACTTGGAACCTATAGACTGTTCTGTTCAGAAGCAGTCAAAATACAAAACAAACAGGCTTCATGAGGGCATATGGTGGGAAAATTGGAGATGACAGTTTTTACAGGACCTGGCCAGACGGTTGCGAAACGGGTCAATTCTCCTTCGGCTTTTGCCAAACAGGCCTTAAGGCTTCCCAAGTGGCTATGAGTTTGTTGTTGGAGTCAATTTTTTGGTATCATGCCTTGGGGCGTCCGAGTTTCTGATCCCATTTCCCATTGGGTTAAGACTGCTAGCATGGGACCGCGGCTGCTAGATTCAGACGTCAAAGTGCTTCCACTGTCAATAATAGCTTGCACCTCAAATAAGAATTACACTTCTGCCCTTCCATTCATTGAAATTCTACACTTTTGTTCAAAGCCAATTGCTATGTTCGCTTCGTTTGCGAGATTCCCCACGTCACTCCACCAAAATGCCAACAGCAAATTACTGGGTAGAAGACGAGCATCCGCAGGAGCACATGACGCAGTTCCGGAGTTGGGCCAGCTCATGAGAAAGTCTCTGCCCTCTGTGGGCTGACCGGGGAGGTTCGGATAGAGGCGAATGTGCCCGGACGTTGGGATTTCCCTTCTTGGCTAAGCGAGGGGAAATCCCGGTACTCGAGTACTAGTACTCGTATTGTGCTCGAGTACCCCAAACTTAGCCCTCGGTAAGGACAAAAGAAGCAGACAGCGGCTCACAGGGGGAGATAACTGCTAGAACATGGTCCTAGCTCATTTTTCTTCCCTTCGACTTTTTACGGTACCGGAATATACGAGTACATACGCAGATTCAATCCCGGATTGCCACAAGGGTTTACTTTCTCGCGGCATGTTTGCGAGAACTATTCTGTGTTCGGTCGGCACCTATCATAACACAATGTCATTCATTATTAGATCACTATTCGGGTTGTAATTTCGCCAAGACATCTACCGCAGCTTTAGTCGTGTGGGGACTCGTATAATAGGGGTGGTCAACAAACATTGAGGCTCAACGAACAATGCGCTAAAAGTGTCTTGGCGAAAAGTGATTTTGTCTGACTTGTTTGTTGAACCCCCCGATTCGTGGGCCCCTCCTGCTGTATGTTGCCTATCATCGATCGTGTACGAGTACTTCGCGCGCCCTATCGGATTCAGCCTACAAGGACCCCCGGTATCACAAGTCTCTGAGACTACTACGTCCTATCCACTAGAAGCGCGCTCTGGTCGATAGCGTGCAGTGGGTCTTGGTCAATATGGTATCTGATGGTCCGGTCCCTCAAGGGCCCCTCTAATGAGCACCCGCTCCCGTACCCACGTATGTGTGCCTAACATACAACCCAATCCCGGAATGCCCTCATGTTTCTGCGGGGTAGTCAAGATCTCCTGTATTCTCGCCGCCGCTCCCTATTAGGATCTTCCGGGCTATGATATCTGCGATAACTGGTGTGGTGCTCGAGGGCTGACTACTCGGGAAAAGTGACCCCCGCCCGCTGTTTTCCTAGCTCACCGGAACAGAAGCCATCGGCATGGCCTCTTTCATTCAATGCAAAGAGGAAAGTATAAAGACCGGCCATACTCTCCCACAACCCTCCTCCGCCATCAGTCCCTCACTGCCCCGATCTCGTCCGGAATTTCCCCGCAGACCAATACTCTAGGCAAGTGTTTCCCCTCATTTACCACCGCTTAGGGAACAAAAACTAATGCAATGGCTACCAGCGCAAACCATCACAATCAAATCACTAGTAATCTTCTCCTTCACTCCCCCTCCCCATCAAACCAACAGTAGCTAAAACTTATTAGTGCTCTTAAGACTCCTGCTTATTCTCGCCCTGTTCCTGACTCTTGCCCACGCCGCGCCACTCGCGGATCCCTTCGCCGAACCCCATACCAGCGATCCCAAAAAAATCGAGTGCATTTATGACGGCTGCGAATGTGACACCTCGTTTAGCCCCGGGATCTATTGTGGGTATTGCTCGGCTGTGAAATCCTGCACTGTGATGTCTTGCTCCGGGAACGTGTACCAGTGTGGTGATGATGGGGAATGCTGTAATTATGGGGTTAGAATTAGCTGCAAGAAATGGGAAGGTCCTTGTGGTCGAAATAAGGTTGTTCTATCCCAGAGAGTCGCTTGAGGTTGGCTGGGTGAACATGGAGGATTGCTTTCGAACCAGAGCCCCTGTTTTTTAGCTGGGTGGGGGGGGGGGGTGCAGAGCTTTCGACACTCTTTTTTCTGACTGTTTCTTGACCATGTCCGCTGTTCTGGAGGATTGATATATGCCGAGCTCAGGTTTCTTGAGCAGTGTACGATGCGCTCAGTTTGATTTAGTCACGCTCTCTCACTCACGAATGTTATTTGCTCATGGATAATATATGAGTCTGGATCTAAACCGATCGGTAGTTCAACACAGAAACGAGCTAGTTTTGATATGTAAAGCTGAGGCGGAAGTAATTCGTGAGGCCATTCGATCGAGTCAAAGGTTGTAAACACTTATACCTCATATCGGGCGCAGTGGCGATGGTTAGGAATCTACCTACATTAGAGTGATCCCCCGGTTTATGATACGAGATTATTCTAGAACTGGCACTTCAAGACGCTATACGCCACAACCGTTAACCCTAATTAGGTTAGGTAATTGTAAGTGGTAATCAAGGTCAAAGAAAACCCTATTCGAATAACATACATTTCAATAGCTGGTTGGCGGACAGCACTCGAACGGAGGAGGGAGGCTGGGGGTAGGCAGAGGGGAAGTGGCGCAGGGGGCGGAAAGTGTGGACGAAATGGGCAGATAAACCGTATTGAATAATTGAGTAAAGGCGAAGCTCAGAAATCTCTCTGGTCAGAATGAATCGTATCACAGAACGCAGATTAGAGATTAGAGCCCGAGATTATCCGGACTTGTGATCCGCCCGTGTGAGCTGGGGGAGCGGGAAAACCACACTAGCCACTAATGCAGCCACAGTTAGGGAATCAGTCAATATCAAAGGGTGATATTCTATGAATCTTGCCTAACCCGTTTTCTCGCCCGCTTAGCTAGTTGAGAGCGGTTACCGGGGACCTCCCAATAACCATGCATGAGTCCGGCAGCCTTTCCATCCCTTCCTATTCGGAAATAATGTCCCCTCGCTCACCCAATACGCCCCCCCGCCGTCACCGCAGGGCACCCTCTCATTACCTACTTCCCACTCCTCTATATCCGCGGTATCAATTCCGCCTTGTCGGATTCTGGACCACCGTCGGTCGGAAGCACCACTCCAATATTCCGCCGGCACAAGACAGTGTCCTAACTCTTAGTGGAACAAAATCCGCCAATTGGCTATTAATGGTGTTTTGTAGCTAGTCGAACTATTCTCCCTTTGGCTCTCAATCGCACAACACTTCTCACTAGTGTCTGATACCTCCCCCCCTTGAAGGTTCTGGATGGATGTTGATTGATCGGAGTAGATCGTGGGAGTTTCGGGAGTCTGGTAGAGAGTTCAGAAGTTCGATAGTGTTGAAGCTTCTGGATCGACGTTGGTCGACTGAGATAGATTGTGGAAGTTTCGGGAGTCTGGCGAAGAGTTCCGATGTTCGATAGATTATTGTGGAGGTTGAGAGATTGATGGGAGATTCTCCGGACATGTCTTTCCTTTGTTATCACGGGAGTGTATGGAGGAAAGGGTAGCATGATTGGAGAGATACGGATAGGTGTGGCAGCCAAGTGCCGTACGGTAGTTTCCTGAGGCCCATCCTGGCTAGATCCTAGGTGACTTGGACCTTTTCCACCTGGATGGCCGTTTAGCTTCCAGCCGAGCATACCCAGTGAAGTACGGTAGATACACTTGCCATCGATTGGGGTGAATTTAGTCACGGGTTCCCGAACATGGGGGTTGTAGGCGATGGCATGCAAGCCAGCGTCAGTACGATGCCGGCACGTACTCGTACAAGTGGCGTAGAGTACCGGTACTGTGGGACTTGCGGATAACTGCGGAGTGACTCTCCACCATGTATTTATGCCCAGTAGTCTGTACCCTATCCTAAGGAGAACGCCGCCTTCCTCACCCCCTTACACAAGAGGTCCCCCTAATACGGTGCTGTAAAGTCTTTGAAATCCACTACCAGTCTCATATCTCTGGCCGCTGCAATATCCACGACTATGACCCGCACGGTGTAGCCTATGAGATTAAGCTCAGCCTCGCGCAAGTTGACTGTATTTGACGGATCCCACGATATGGCGTTCGTTAACCGCTATTTCATGCCAAGCTAACGCTTTGTCGGGGTGGAGATACGGTACCGATAGTGGATGTCAAGAGATTTCACGGTACTTTGCGAGCACAGTACGCGTACTGTACTGTACACTTCACAGCCTCAAAGATGCGCGCATACTCGTACAGCTCAGCCGGTTAGAGTCTTGGGGAGCGGTACTTTTAATTAACCAGCATTAGCGAATCGAGTTCTCATAGTTCTCCGCTGCACCTGTTTTTGTTTTTTTGTTCCCTTAATTAGTGGGTGAGAGTTGGTAACCTCTCTTCCATCAGGGGTGGTTTGTCCGTGGTTAGGATGGATGATAATTGGGAGGAGTCTAGGGGTTCTGCTGAGTTATTGGTATAGTACTGTACCGAACACAAGCGCCGTCCAAAGCAAGTCCGCCCGGAGCATCTTGGCAAAATTAATTTTATGTTCTACCGACGCAGTGGTGTAGTAACTTAGTACAGTACTCGTACGGTACAGTACACTGGAGGACAAAAGTGCATGGATTTTACCGCTCGCAAAAACAGCCATTTTTGTTTTCTTTACAAAAATGTGAAAATATCTAAGCTCTATAGCAATGGTATGATAATATAGATTATGTTTGACTTCTGAAGATAGAGTAATAGGAGGCAATATGTACTGAATTGTAGCACTTGTGTTCTCTAGTTTTCCTAGTGAACTTTGTCGTATTGTCAATAAATATATGGCGTAATCATTACTAGACAAAAGTCTTGGCGATGGCGCCATCCTAGGAACTGTCTGTATTCAGCTGATGGTATAGCAGCAATCCGTCCATGCGCACTGATTCATAGTCTATCTGATATACTAACCTTTGGGATTAGCCATTGCCGCAACCTACAGTACTCCGCATTTTCATTTGTGATATGAATCGGAATTCTAGTTTGTTGCCAACGTTGAGTAGACTTACGGTACTATTACCGCTTCTTTGGAGTCGGTGATTCTGTGGACGTATGTCACTCCCCTCGCGCCATAATAGCATTATTGATTAATCAGCGATAAGCGATCACTTAGTATCACTTTTTTTCAAGTGACTGCAAGAAACGTCGGAAGGTTTCGTGCAGCGCGGCGAAAAAAAAAAAACAATCAGGGAAAAATGAAACAACTACAGTACCAATGGAACCTGGCAAGAAAGAACAAGTTAGTGCGCAACTCCGAAGAACATGAGCACAAGTATCAAGTCCCCACTACGTCTTCCCGATTCTGGTTGACTAAAAGTCATTGCCAGTTCGTCCCCTAGCCTCATCCTTAGCCAAATATCACCCCACAGACAAAGAATCAATCATTGACATCGATTTTATAATATAGTACCCTGCACCTCTGGACAACACCCTCACCCAACCGGCTTTGATCCCGCATCCTCGGAAACGCGGCTACCCGGCTCCGCAAAATACATTTACGCACGTGAGATTCGCTGTGGAAGCTCAGCTGAATCCGGGGCTTGATATGTACAGAAAAGGATACAAACCTATTAGAGATGGTGTGTCCGGATAAGTACCAGGGTAGGGGAAGATAGCTGTCTCTCTCTTCGTGTCGCCACATTTCCGATCTCCGGGGATGTAGTGGATTGTGGGGGAGACTGGCAGGGGGCCGCTCAAGAGGGATAAGTTACTAAAGGTTGTTGAGCGAAGGCGCATGGGCGGGTGGATGGGTGGATGGGGTAAGGCTAGTAGGTACTTGAAGTGTTTCTTGTCCAGATACGTGTCCCAGATACGCAGGACTTGTTGCTGGTGATGGTGTTTGTACTACGATATTGTAGAGGAATACTTTTTCCGAGACAGTAGCGATTATTTGGTAATACCGGCTAAATGGCATAGCGGCAGAGCGAGATGAAAAGGAGGGGACTTGACCAGTGCGGAGTATCTGTTGTAGGAAAGGTATTAACAGAAACTTCGCTATCTCCAACCAAGCTGAAAGTAAAAACAAGAGTATATATCAAACACAAACCAACCGTCTTTATCCCTCGATGGATCATCACACATGTCAGTTTGCCTCCATGGATATCCCCATTACCTTGCATCCTCTAGTGATAATAAAAGAAAAACATGCTCGAAGAATCCTATCCATAAATGGCCATAGCTCCAAAATAAAAGAACCCTCCTACAAAAGTCTTGCAACTTCCACGAACTAGAACTCCTGATCTGCCATTTCTCCAATGCAACAGGAACACAACATGAAAATATCTCAACTTGAGATAAAATTAAAAAAAGAAAACATAGATATTCTGCAGACAAGATTACAAAATACACGGAAACAAACGAAGGCCGAAATAAGCACCACCCCGAAGGCGCAGTAGATAGAATGAAATAGCCAACAAGAATCCCGACGCCGATGGAACATTAAAAACGAGCGAAGTATGAGAGGAAACAAGATTAAGCTGCAAAGGAAAAACAGAAATCCTAATCAGGAGTAAAGGTTGGGAGTGGGGAGGGATCGGGCCGAGGAGACGCCAAACTGAATTGTCCCAGACTGTTGGAGCGGTAAAGGTGGTTCCTGAGGAGACCAAGACGAGAGAGATCAAGCGATGGAGGCGGCGGGTCGAAGCCGATATTTTGTTTGGGGGGTAACATTATCCGGTAGGTTAGAGGCATTGACTGAGTTGTGTCTTGCTCTGGAGATTTCTCACCACCAACAGTGGCTTTCGTTTGGCCACAGGTTTCTGATAATTCGCGACTGGGGTTTCCATGATCCGATAATAGATTCAGTACAACCTCGAACCCGTGCTGGACAGCATATGATAAAGGTGTTAGGCCAAAGTCATCCGATAAATTAGGGTTGACATCCGTGCATTCTAGAAGTAGCTTCACTACGCCTTCATGTCCTCTCGAGGCAGCAAACGATAGCGGTGTTCGGCCACTGCTATCCGGTAAATCGGGATTGACATCCTTGCGTTCGAGAAGTAGTGAGACTACACCTGCATGTCCCTCCGAGGTAGCAAAGGATAGGGGTGTTTGGCCAATGGTATTGGGTAAATCGGGGTTGACACCCTCGCATTCTAGAAGCAGCTTCACTACAGCTCCATGTCCTCCTGAGGCAGCAAACGATAAGGGTGTTCGGCCATCGGTACGCGGTGAATCAGGGATGACATCCCCGCGTTTAAGAAGTAATTTCACTATCCTTTCGCATCCTTTGGACGCAGCAAATGATAGGGGTGTTCGGCCATCGGTATCCGGCAAATTAGGGTTGACATCCCCGCGTCGAAGAAGGAGCTTCACTACAACTTCATGCCCCCCTGAGGCAGCAAACGATAAGGGTGTTCGGCCATCGGTACGCGGCGAATCAGGGATGACATCCCCGCGTTTAAGAAGTAATTTCACTATCCTTTCGTATCCTTTGGACGCAGCAGATAATAGGGGTGTTCGGCCATCGCTATCCGGTAAATTAGGATTGACATCCCCGCGTTGAAGAAGTAGTTTCACTACACCTTCATGCCCCCCTGAGGCAGCAAACAATAGCGGTGTTCGGCCATCGCTATCCGGTGAATCGGGATTGACGTCCTCGCGCTCGAGAAGTAGATTCGCTACACCTTCATGTCCTTCCGAGGCAGCAAATGATAGGGATGTTCGGCCATCGCTATCCTGTAAATTAGGGTTGACATCACCGCGGTGAAGAAGTAGTTTCACTACACCTTCATATGCACACCTAGCAGCATATAATAGGGGTGTTTCGTTATCACTATCCCGTAAATTGGGATCGACGCCCTGGCGCTCTAGAAGTATATTCACTACATTCAGTTTCTCCGCAACAATAGCTGTGAATAATGGCGTCTGGCCATCGCTATCTGGTGAATTGGGATCGACATCCCCGCGTTCTAGAAGCAGCTTCACGATACTTTCGCGTCCTCTCCTGGCAGCAAATGATAGGGGTGTTCGACCATTGCTATCCGCCGAGTCGGGGTTGACATGTCCGCGATCTAGAAGCAGCTTCACTATACTTTCATGTCCTTTCCAGGCAGCAAATGATAGCGGCGTTCGGCCATTGCTATCCGCCGAGTCGGGGTTGACATGTCCGCACTCGAGAAGCAGCTTCACAACCCATCCATATCCTCTCGAGGCAGCAAATGATAAGAATGTTCGGCCATCGTTACTAGGTAAATTAGGATCAACATCCTTGCATTCCAGAAGCAGTTTCACAACACCCTTGTGCTTTGCTTGGCAATGCCGCCGAGAATAGAGCAGAGGTGTTCGGCCATCCTTATCCGCCAAATTGGGGTTGACACGGCCGCTTTTGAGCAGTAGCTCAACTGTATTTTTGGATCCATACTCGACAGCAAATGATAAGGGTGTTCGGCCATCGCTACCAGCTAAATTGGGGTCGACATCCTTGCATTCCAGAAGTAGTTCCACAATACCTTCGTACTCAAGGTCCCTGTCCCGCAAAGCATATAATAGGGGTGTTCGGCCATGGTCATCCGCCAAATTAGGGTTGACGCGTCCGCTTTTTAGCAGTAGCTCAACTATATTTTCAAATCCATACTCGACAGCAAATGATAAGGGTGTTCGGCCATCGTTACCCGCTAAATTGGGGTCGACATCCTTGCATTCTAGAAGCAGTTCCACAACACCTTCGTAATCAAGGTCCACATCCCGCACAGCATATAATAGGGGTGTTCGGCCATCCGTATCCGCCAAATTGGGGTTGACACGTCCGCTTTTCAGCAGTAGCTCAACTATATCTTCGAATCCATACTCGACAGCAAATGATAAGAGTGTTCGGCCGTCGCTATCCGGTAAATTGGGGTCGACATCCTTGAATTGCAGAAGCAGTCCCACAACATCCTCGTACTCAAGCTCCACGTCCCACAAAGCATATAATAGGGGTGTTCGGCCATCCTTATCCGCCAAATTGGGGTTGACGCGGCCGCTTTTTAGCAGTAGCTCAACTATATTTTCAAATCCATACTCGACAGCAAATGATAAGGGTGTTCGGCCATCGCTATCCGGTAAGTTGGGGTCGACATCCTTGCATTTAAGAAGCAATTTCACACAACCCTCGTCCTCTACCTCCCTGTCGTGTAAAGCATATAATAGGGGTATTCGGCCATGGCCATCCGCCAAATTAGGGTTGACACGGCCGCTTTTTAGCAGTAGCTCAACTATATCTTTGAAACCATATCCGACAGCAAATGATAACAGTGTTCGGCCATCGTTACCAGCTAAATTGGGGTCGACATCCTTGCATTTCAGAAGCAGTTTCACAACACCTTCGTACTGTACCTGCCAATGCTGGAAGGCATATAATAGGGGTGTTCGGCCATCTTTATCCGCCAAATTGGGGTTGACACGGCCGCTCTTCAGCAGTAGCTCAACTATATTTTCGGATCCATACTCGACAGCAAATGATAAGGGTGTTCGGCCATCGCTACCAGCTAAATTAGGATCAGCATCCTTGCATTCCAGAAAGAGTTTCACAACACTGGCGCTGGACACCCTCCAGTGCTCAATAATAACATATGCCAGGGGTGTCAGGCCATTCCAGTCAACTGAATTGGGATTGACATCCCCGCGCTCTAGAAGTAGCTGGACTATACTTTCCTGCCAGGACTCCGCGGCATATGATAGTGGTGTTCGTCCGTGTTCATCTGCTAGATCGGGATTAACATCCCCGCGCTCTAGAAGTAGCTTGACTACACGTTCGTTCCCCCATTTAGCAGCAAATGAGAACACCGTACGACCGGCCCGAATAACCTTGTTTGGTTCAATATCCCCCTGCTCTAGAAATAGCTCCGTCACCTGCCTATTGTTATATCTCGTGGCCCAACTTAACGGTGTGTCTCCCTCCGAATCTTGCCCATTCATGTCCCATGCTCTCGCCTCCAACATGGCTCTCGCAATATCTGAAATCCCCCAAAATGCGATGCAGTGTAGTCCACTAATTCCCTGAACATCCCTCTCTGAGTACCAACGACGTATCTTCCTCCGCCAGAGGATAGTGGCAGATACATGGTCTTCGTATCTATCTAGTAGTCGTAACGCCAGCGATTTCACCGTCTCGGTAACTTCCATGGCGGCATGGGTTCCCCAGAAACATGCCGCATATTCAAGAAATGGTGGTATCGTGCTGACATTGTCCGGGTTTGATGGCAGTGCACGCACTGACTCACTGTTCAAATATGTGAGGCAAGTTTCGGCCATCATTGAGTGCGCAGTTGCAAATTTACCATGACCGTTGAGATATTCTTGAAGTGTGAAATGCAGAAGACGGACCTGGGCTTGCTTTTCGTCAAAAGTAACAAGTCCTAAGGTGCAGCTCAGGGCCGTCTGTATAGAAGGTACATTTTCGGTGTTGAAGTCTTTCTCTCCCAACTCCACGCCGAGCGCATGGCAGAACTCTTCCGATCCCAAGGGCCGCCCAGAGTGAGAAATCCACATTAGTGCCTGCATTCCAAGCTTCTCTTTACTTCCACCCAGCTTTCTTATCCGATCTAAGGTCGTTTTGTACGCATCCTGTAAACCAAGGCCCTTAGTCATCCTATCCAGAGCTTGTCTTCTCTGGTAAATTGTTGCCTCGGCAAGGACTACGTCCATATTGATGCAAATAAGGAGGAATCTAGACATCGTGGTTAGCCCAGTCTATAGAACTCAACTTCTCGGGACAATACATACATTCCTGAGATCCTTGCTGGGATGACTCTGAGAATATCGGCTCGCAACCCCTCATCCATTGCACTGGGCTCCGGGTCTCGATCCAATCTC